ATCTTCCACGTGTTTGTAAAAGCCTGAAAACAGGGAAAGGAGTTTCCCTGGGAAGATTCCATAGCATGTGAATAAATAAATAAGCGAATGCTGAGAATCTTTGGTGTTCAATATGGAAATGAGAACCTCTCTTTTTTTGCCACAGCACATAAAATGGGAGAGCAACTGCAAACAGTACTGCTAAAAAGTTGTGTCTTCTCACTTTAAAGAGTAACATAGCATTTCTTTGAAAAGACTGCTGTGATCTGAGGGGTAAGTACCAATACGGTCCAAATGTGTGTTTCATTTTGTGCTCATGAGTGAATACCTTCCTGACTCAGAGCTGTACACACATGAATGTGTTTACATTGCCTTCCACCTCTCTACCAGCCCTTCTGTTTCTGGACCTGGCACAAAATTGAGGATTCAGAAGCGTCCTTTTGACTCACTTAATGCTATCTTTAAAGAAACTCATTCACCAAGGAAAAAAAAAAAAAAAAAAAACTCACTCCTTGATTCTGAACAGTCAAGGATATTAGACTTAAGGTGCTGTGGTCCTGATGATACTTAATTAGGGTGTTGGCTTTAGGGTTACTCTACATACCTAGGTATGCATTATTTTAGTGAAAGCATTTGCTACCTGATTGTTTTTTGTAGCTTCCTCTAAAAATGCAAGTAACGTAATTCTGTGGTCTTGTGAGATAAAATTGGAGGGGCTATGTGGCATATCAATAAATCTTTTATACGACAGGGTTTTCCCATATATCTAAGGGAAAGAATATGTTTCTTGAAGATGTGTTTTATGAATAAATTTGGAACACAAAAGTAAACAATGTAGTTAAATAAAATTTGTAGAAGTTTAGGTAATTTATGCATTTAGGTTTTGTTATTTTCCATGATTTCTCACTTTAATTACATAAGAATTAATTATGGATTTTTCTAGTCACTAAGTTATTCCAACAAATTGTTGTGCATTAGGGACACCATTGGCAGCAAGGATGAACGTATTTGTATCCTTCTTACCCAGGGCATCCTCAAGACAACAAAAGTAAATGTAACATGAATGTTGGAAGTAATAAGCATTCTTCAGCCTTACAATGCTGTATCTATTTAACATCTCATTTATTTCTATGCCATCAAGTGGTTTTGGTCTGCTGTCCATAGGATTGCTGTTTCCACTGTTTATTAATACGCAGTATGTTCATCAGTTATCTTGCCTTATTTCATGAGTAATTAAATGTTCCAAGTTTGCCCAAAAAATAACAATACAATAAAAATCTTAATTGGCTTCCTCTCAGCTACTCATGGCACGATCAGATAGCCCTGTATCCAGCTGTTAATTGTGCTAAACATTGACTGATAGATTCAGCCAAAACAATTAGAGAAAATGAAGCATATTTTTTGAAAAATGCTGAAGAAATCAGAGGCTGTAGGGCTTTTTTTTCTAGACATATATTAACATATTAAAACAGGATTGGGGTGTGAGAGTGATTTAGGAATATGTTGGGCTTTTTCTCTGCAGAATTGTCCACTAAATATTTAAGAAAAGCCTCACCCCTTTCTGCAGTGCAGAGCATATTATACTTATTTTTTCCTTTCTGGTAGGTGAACTGTGGTACGTTCTTGGGGTTTTTTCTAATTCATTACACTTTTAATACTGTAGCAGCAGTAATATAGCTATGGTAAAATGAAGCTATATTATGGTTAATACACATGGGGTTTTATCACAATTGTCACATGATAAAATAAATGTTTTCAATGCTGTTGCAGCAGAAAAAAAAAAAACCAAACCTCTCGTCATGACTACACATGTCTAAGAGTTGGGAATAAATAGTTTTTACTTTGAATTTCAATTTCTCACAGGTTTTGGAGTCATAACCATCACTCCTTTTTGTTACGAGGGTTGGTTGCTCCATTTTGGTTTTGGTTTTGGTCTGGCTTTTCTATAACTCTCTGGTCAGTGCTACTTCTTTTTTTTCCTCCTTTTTTAAATCTGCTGCTCTTGCAAAGCTTTATCCTCCCTTTTTTGTTACTCTATAATCCTTTCCTTTCTCAAGCATATTTTCTCTGTTATTCTCTGTATCTGTTCATCTGATTTCTCTTGGGCAGATCATCCTATGTATTTTCTGCTTTTTTGTCTCCACTACTTCTTCATGGAAAATTCACTGACTGCTCAGACTGAAAATGGGTGTAGAACTAAATGTTATCTTTTCTCCTAAACATTTCCACCATCCTACTTACCATCCAAGCTTATATAGCAATGCTTAGCTAATCTTCCTCCACAATTTATGGAAAGCCTGTCCCTTTCTCTCTGTACAGACAAATGTCACTTTTCATAAGCTTTTTCGCTTTTTAATACTTCTTGTGCTTCCCTCTTAGTAGCCATATTGCCAGTCCATCCAAAATACAGCTGATGATACTGCTTCTCTCATCAGTCAAACCATACTTATATCTTTTAAGCTCATCTTTATCTTCTAGATGTTCCACACTGTTCTGTCCCAGCCTATAAATCAGATAATTTCCTCAACCCATTCTGCTCCATCAATATGTTAAGACTACATATCCTTAATAATTCCATGACATCCCCTGTGTTAGTCATGACTTCACTATTCTGTAAATTATTGGTCCTCTCTGTTCTTTGTCTACATACACTTATTTTCTACAATACACAAAGAATGAAAAATTCATAGCCCTTCAGAAAATGAAAAAATCAAAATAAATCACTGGTTCTGGGCATATCCTCATTTACTGTAGTTCTCTGTGTTTTTCTCATATCTTTGGGGCAAGGTTTTATTATTTTTATCCTATATAGCAGACTAGTCTATTGTTAGCCCTAGGATAATTTATCAGTCATCTTGGACTATTCCATGATTGTTAATGTATTTAAGTAAAAATAAACTGGCTGAAGCCTTGTTTTCACAAGCCTTCAAGTGCGAAAGATCTTCATAGATACCACAGATTGGAGTATTTTTATTTGGTTATTACATCCTTTAACTTTATTCTTCTTGACAGAATATTTTTGGTCAAGTAACGTTTTCAGTGATCTACGTAATGGATCTACTACTACATCCCTTTGGATGCTTCTCTATTACACAGACTAACAGATCACATTTTTAAAGGTGTTAGTAGGGATGTAAAATGCTCTTTAGAAGTGCTAAGGCTTGTCACTGCAATATAATTGACAAGTCTGGCTGCCTGAATACATTATTTTTGTGCTTTTAAAAGTGCTGTTGGCCATTCTCCTCTTCAGGTGTCCAGTGAACTCATACATTTGGAATATTTTAAGTGCCTTTTGTGGTATTTTGAAAACTGTTTCTTTGGAATTCAGCATCTCGCAAGAATGAAGATTTTCTGCATTGCAGGGATCCAGTGAGGGGGAGTGAAATGCAGGACATCCACACTAGCTCTGAAGCATACTGAAAAAAACTCCTCTTTAGCTCACTGCAGATTCAGAAAAAATAGAAAATATGTATTGATGAAATGCAGAAGATGCTTCTTCAGACTGAGATTAACTTAGTGCTATTTTAGAAAACTTCATTGCTGCCAATTTGCCAGTAGATACAATGTCTACAACCTGTTAAAACATGAACTTTATCTGAGAGAACACTGGAGGAACACAGTGGAAAACTGTTTGCTATGCATGTCTATCCACACTCCAAGAAAGATCTCAAGGGTGACATTTCCAAAAGTATTATGTAATTAGTCTTGCTGGTAAGGATTAAAGTAGCTGAGTGACTCTGATTTCAGTGGTGTGCAGTATAAGAGGGCATCCTCTAAGGTGTCCTCTCCCCATCAGGAGGTGAGATGGCATCATGAGAATGTTTTGCCACATCTGAAACCCCATAATTTACATGTGAGTAGCTCAAATGTTGCAGTAGCAGTTGCATCCAGACTTTTGGTAGTGGTGAGAGCTGAAATGGGGACATCTGGCCTCAGAGCGGTTATTGTATTACTTGTGATGATTTCCATTTTCAGCTTATTGTAATCAATAGACTACAGCATGGTGAGTAACTTCTGGGCCATGTAGCTGCAATCAAGTATTAAATGTTAAAATCCTTTACACTGAAACAGGACTGTGAAAGTTTTGGCTATACCGATTTCCCTAATAGTAGAAGTAGTAGGTAGGAACATTTAAATACTGCTTAGTACTCTGAAAATTTATGGAAAATTAAATTAAGCTATGCATTATCAAAATAAATCAGGTTTGTTGGTTTTGGTGGTTTGTTTTGGGTTTTTTGTCAATAGAGGTGAGTAAACAATAAATACAACAACCCCAGATATATATGTTATTAAACAGTTAGTTTGACTTCATTTTGACATAGTGTAATGTGCTATTGTTTTCTTCTTATTTTTAAAAGACCTTACAGAAATAATGTTTTGATATTGTCTGGAGTTGCTTACACTCTAAGCAGAATGTAACATGGAGATCAACTAAAACTGCATTTGAATCTTGAACAGATGTGCATTGAAGACAGAGAAAAGTTTCCCATTAATTGCACCACACTTTGTATTTGGTCCAAAATAAGCCAGAAAGCACTCCATTAAGGACATAATCTTTTTAAATGCTTTTATTTGGCCCTGAAGATACGCAGATGAGCAATTAAGGCCCTCTGGGAGGCCCCTGTCCATGAATGTTTTCAGACCTGAGGTTTTTAAGTATATGTGGTGATACTTAATCTTGCTCTGGATTAGTCAACAACAGTGAATTTCATGTCAGAAAAATTTTCTTGCATGTGTTTTCCAGCTGGTGGAACAAGATTATTTTTTTTGTGTATTATTTGGGTATCCCCTATCACTATGTTGGACATGGGATTAAGTGATAAAAAGAATCCAAGAATGTTTATTCCAATTATTTTGACAATAAGAAACAATGAATGTTAAATGTGCACATGCTGTTTTTTCTCCTAGCTTGAATGTCTTATGGCTTCTGTTGTATTTCATTCTTTTAGGCCTTTCTCTGAACTCTGCCCGTTGCACAGCCATACGTGTTAGATGACTTTGGGACTTGCTTTGCATCAGCGATGAAGGGATTATCTAGCAGCCGTAGTCACCATCATGGGGTTGCCTGTGACTCTCCGTGTGATAGTCTGCCCCACCACCCGGACAGGAAGCCATATTTGTTAAACCCGGTGGACCCCCATCCTGCAGACCACCCTTACTACACTCAGAGGAACTCTTTCCAGGCAGAGTGCATGGTGCCCTACAATGATCAGATTGCCAGCAGCACCTTTCCCCGGAGGCATTACAATTCCCACCATGAACTCAAGGACGAGTGTGCTCTGGTTCCCCACGGAACCGCCAACAAGACCAACCAAAAAAAAAGTGTGGCCGCGCCGCTGCCTCTGTATCGGGATGGCTACCACACTCTGCAGTACAAGCGGACTGCCATGGAGCACCGCAGTGACAGCCCAGGGAGGATCCGGCACCTGGTTCATTCTGTCCAAAAGCTCTTTACCAAGTCCCATTCACTGGAGGGACCATCCAAGGGGAACGTCAACGGGGGCAAAGCGAGCCCAGAGGAGTCGCAGACGATGAGGTATGGGAAGCGCAGCAAGAGTAAAGAAAGGCGATCAGAAGGTAAGCCCAGATCCAATGCATCAGGATGGTGGAGTTCAGATGACAACTTGGACAACGATGTTTGCATTTATCATGGTCCCAGTGGGGTCATGACCATGGGAAGATGCCCTGATCGTTCTTCTTCCCAATACTTTATGGAAGCCTATAACACTATTAGCGAGCATACTGTGAAGTCATCCAGAAGCAATAATGATGTCAAATGCTCTACCTGTGCAAACCTGCCTGTGAATTTGGACTCCCAGTTAATGAAGAAAAGCTCTTGGTCCTCTACATTAACCGTGAGCAGAGCCCGTGAAGTTTACCAGAAAGCATCAGTTAACATGGACCAGACAGTGGTGAAGGCAGAGACGTGTCAACAGGAACGGTCATGTCAGTACCTCCAGGTACAGTGTGGAGAACTGAATGCTGTTAACTGTGCTCTGCCTTGTCTCAGGTGTTTGTGGGGGATGGAGGTTTACTCTGATATTTCAACTTTCCCGAGAGGTCACTGATCGCCAAACAAGGGGTAATGCTGTTGAAATTAAAAATAACTTTGCTTTGGGGGTTTTATTGCCAGCATTCAGTATTTCAGAGAAACAGTTCATGTTGGAACAGGCTTAATTTCTTCATGTGGGAAAAATAAGAGCTTTCTGTGTACTTTTTGAATTTGTAAGGCAGTCACAGTAGGGGTATAGGGAATTTGATATTGTAGTGCTTGCACTTAACATTACAATGTCAATTAACAGAATGTTACCAGGATACAAATTCTTTGATTTCTGTAATTTCAAGATTTGCCTTCATTTACTGCTTATTTTATTATGAAAGCTTTTGAGACCCTTTTGAGAAACTTTGGGGTACCTTAATACCTTCTCCAGCAGGAAAACAACCTACTTTTCTTTTTGCCATAGAATATAAATTCTCATAAAACTGTTATTGTAACATGTCCAGATTTATCTGGCTATTCCTCATTCTCATGGCTTTAAGTCAAAAATAAAAAAATCAAAAGGTTGAAATTATTGCTTGTTCTGATTATACAGTTTAGGAGTACATCACCTACTCCCTCACAAGCTGTTTGCAGTTAATACAGCGTCACTATTTTTCACCAGTATTGTATCTTTAAATGTCAAGAATCAGATGTCTGCTCTTGGAGCTATCACACTGCCGGTGAATGTTTGTGGCAGGAACATGGATCAGAAAATATTAAAACTGTTTCATTCTTAGGAGAGCTGTGGATAGCTTTTATGCACTTTAAAGGAAGCACTTATGGCACACCTAAGTGTGTGTGTAAGATGGAACAACGTTGCACAGAGAAGAGAGAAGACCATGAGGAAAAAAGAGGTTTGCTGAGACAATTTGGTTTCATTTTAATGTAGTGGGACTCTGGTCTATTTGTATAGAAACTGTAGCGAGTTTTCTCATATGGGAGCTTTAATGAGAGAGTCAGCTTCCACATTCTGTTGTTTAAGTCAGTACGCCGAGAAAGCGTAGGACTGAGGCATCCGCATTTAAAAATTGAGCTTAAAAAGTTTATATTGAATGGCATGAAGAATAATTTTGAATGCCGGCCTCTGGGATTCTAAGTTTCAAATGTAAGGAAATGGATCTGTGTGTTTTCTATTAATTGTTAGGAGAGTGTGTTGGGGGGAGAAGGGGCAATATGAATGCTCAGTGTGTGTTTACAGCTCAGTGTGGGTATGGACTGGGGAGAGACAGAGGTTTTAAAATAGCCTCAGGTTGCAACCTTTTGGGATTTGGTTTGTATTACGTCTCTTTTGTCAGTATTTTGTGAGTGAGAAGAAATTGTAACTTTAGGCTTGATTGTTGCAGTTACTTGGGACCCTGAGATTTCTTTTGTTGATGTGTTTGTTTACTCCTTCAATCTTCCTCTCAGGTTTAGATAAAATAGCTGACAATTCAGTATGTGACCAGATGGCTAGAAAAGAGCAAAAAACTGTGCCAGCATCAGCTTTAAATGAACACCTCCATAGGGACTTGTAGATAATGTTTAACTGACAGGAATGGACTCCTGAAGTGGAATTAGAGGACATTATCTGTGTCTGTATAAAAATGTGTCCAACAATTGTCAAGGGCAGGAATTAGAATGATTAATTATCACTTAGGATAACTACATTCTCACTGTGTTTTCCATCCTCACTAGTAGTTTTATTTTGCTTTACAATTCATTTAATTTCATTTTTTTCTAATTGTATGCTTGCTTGCAAAAGACAGGGAAACATAACTAGTTTAAGACTGTTTTTAAAGAAAAGGGAAATATTAACCAGGCTTTGATTAACATTGGAAATAACATTCAAACAGGATAGGGTAGATTTAAGGAAGCAGTTAAGGATTATTCTCTCTTTTCAGCTTAAAAGGATGACAAATGGATATAGATGTTAAAAAGTCAGTCTTTATTTTGAACACATCCCATTGCCTTTCTCTTCACTATATCACTTATCTTTTTACACTACAAGCCCTTTGGGGCTTGGACTTTGTTCCCTTTTGTGTTTCCACAGTGCCCAGCACAATGGGCACAAAACCTAATTGAGGCCTTTTGGCTGTCCTGCAATATAAATACATATTAACAGCAACAGAATATTACTCCATTAGTGGACAGTAGAGGTATTCTATATATCCATTATTTTCCTGGTGACCTTCTCATCATCGTCTCATCAAAGGGCTGGTGTTCTATGTTAAGACAATTCGAAATGCACTAATTTAAATGAAAGCTGCAAATTCATGACAATACTGGACAACTCTGATAATTTAATTTCGTTTTTAAGATGCTTCTTTGCTCCTTTATTTAACTCATTAAATGTTAAATAGATGCTTTTATCAACTCACTTATAATTTAAGCTGTTGTTTATAGTCCAGGACATAAACTCTCTGATCCTTAAAAGAGACACCTATTTTGGTTATGCAAATTCTTTTTGTAATAGTATCTGAATACTATGAAGGAGTGACTTTTTTCCAACTCAGCCTACCCAGGATAATTTTCTTTATCCTGATAGATCTCAGTATATCAGAGATCACAGATGACATTGACTTCACATTTGCTGGTAAGGGCTGTTATCACAAAAGTATCTGGATGAATTTTCAGTGTAAAGACATGGAAATAACAAACAATTATCTCACTTGGTGTGATATTTTCCACTTCTGTGGAAGGAGTTGGCAGTAGTTTGTGTTACAGATGGGCTTATTTCTCATAATTTGGAATGTGGATCGAGTGCAGAGTCCTCCTTCATTGCACAGTCTTTCTATACCCCAGCAAGCTCTGCTTCCAAGCCCAGATGCTGAGGTGCAGTGTCCATCCTTGGATGTCTCGGGGAGGCTTGGCTCAACACTGTTTGTCTTCAGAAACAGATATTAGCTCCTGGACTAGTCTGAAGACTGTCAAGAAAACCTTTTCCTCTCACCTGCATTTTGGGAATGTAATTGTATTTTTCTCTTTATATCTCCTTTAAAGAATGAGGATCTGGATAGTAGAAAGATAAGGTTCTTCTTTTGAGCTGCTTCTTACTTCAGGAAAGTGCTTTCATTTCATCCAGGTTTACAGTTGTACTAAATTGAAGGAAGGCGAGAAGGAACTGTTCATGTTTCCCCAAAATTCATCTTCAAAATGGTTTCCCTCCCTTGACAGACTAATTTCTAAAGCAGTGGACAGCCTCCACTTCTATGGTAGCAAAACTGTCAAAGACAAAATGTAAGCAGCAGTCTTTTTCTGCAAACAATAAGGTCTAAATGCAGGGATAGATATTTTTGATACTCGTTTTCCACAAATTCATGATTGTTGAAGCTAATAGAGTATCAGATACATACACTGCAGAGTTTGTCTCTGGTTACAGTTTTGCTGTTCAATATTCCCTGTAATAACTATTCCCATTGGTCTTGGTCTTGGTTAAGAGAGAGATTAAAAAACAAAGGATTACATTTTTTGCATTATTCCTCTTCTTCATTGGGTCAGTCATATGTTTTGTTTTGACCCTGTTTGTGAGACTGAAATCAGTTGTGTCAGATACTTAGGGCTGAGGATAGAAATTTTAATTCTGAAAACTGAAGTGCAGCAGGTGGGGACAGCAAAAACCGTATTTGCATTGCTTGTCTTTTGGTGGGAGTCTATGAGAAATATTATAAAAAAAATATAAGCCAAGTTCCTGGGTGTAATACGCATTTTCTGGTTGTGAAGGGGTCTTGTTCATACTGTGCTCATTTTTCTAGAGAAGGTTGTCTGTAATGTGCATTTTTATATGATGTGGAGTGGTAAGAAACTCGCATTGTTAGACTGATTTTCTTTCCAGTGTCAGGACAAGTCAGTTCCACATTTTCTTGGGAGATATTGCTCAATCCCTGACCCTTTCTGTTGCCTGTGTCCATGGATGGCCAAACAGAGGGCATCACCCTAGGTCAGAGTGATGATAAGGACCAGTATCTGTCATATGATTTTTTTATGCATTATGTTAAATTACAAAGTTTTTCCTTATCACAAAGCAATTCAAGTTAGGACTGTTATGCTGGGCTTATCTCTGCAAGCTTATCTGTATTTTCATTTATTCTCTACTTTTTCCTCATTTTTGGTGTTTGCCCTTCTGTCACAACTACCATATTCAAATTAATCTTTCAGTATGTCCTTGTCGATATATATATGCTGTATTTTAATATCCATTAGTAATGATCATCCATTTTTCATATATCTGAAGACCCGTCTCTTATTCCATCACAAACTAAAAATTAATGAAACATATATAATTTCCACTTTAGTCAGAACTACAAAGTATATGAGGTATAAGTTTAAAATTTTTTTCTTGAACTCATATGAAGGACATTTCTCAGTAAAGTTATTGAAACAATTTGAACAATTGTGAAATAAAATTTTTAATGGTATACTGTATTCTAGTCCAGCTTTCATGTAATGGAACAATCATGAAAATATTTGGAAATACTTAAATGTTTGTGAATTTTTAAATAAACTAGTATCTGAGAACACTAATGCTGAAAAATATAATTCACAGAAAGCTCATTTATTTGAGTTTTAAAATTATTTTGAGCTGGGGATATGAATAATGAATAAATTTAGGGAATTTGTGAACACTTGGAAAATATTAAGAAAGCAAAAAATAGCTTATTTACAAAAAATATATTAATAAGAAATAATTCCATTGACCTGACATCTCAGTTATTTAGCCTACCTGCAAACCTACCCAAGATGTCTTTGCTCTGTTAAGATAAACATACAGAAGCATATTTCTGTATAGCTATCCTCCTCATCTTTGCAGTCCTTTAATACACCTTCAGAAAAAAAAAAAATGGTCAGCTGAATTGCTGAGATATTTCACCTTAACAACTGCTGTGTTCTCATTCATTTAATTAAAACCTGGACTGACCTTTGGTGTCTGAGTAATGCAGTGGT